CCTACTGACTCCCTCTGGTTGCATCAGAGGAGGAAATCAAATGCGCCCAACGTTTCTTCTCCACCAGCCCACATCGGCAGTCACTCTCTTTTGTTTTCTCCTAGGTGCTTATGAATACATTAATTAGCCAATGCTCTATTCCACAGGGCCAACTTGTGCTTAATCCCTTGTGTCTTCTCTCCTACCCTCCTTTTTTAAAGTCTGGGAAGTATGTACGGCAAGACTAGAGAAAAGCAGACATGGGGGCCTGTCTGCCACAAAGCCCCAGGTTTGGGGCTCCACCAACTGAACCAGAAGGTCCCAGAGAAACCCGAGCCCGCTAACGTGCAGGTGTTTATTCTCCTGCAGTGCTTCCCCCCACGCCCCAGCTTCCCTCGTGCCATGCTTATGGACGACATCCACGTGCCCGGGCAGCGCACATCCTGCTCGGGCAGCGATCCCTCTTTGGATTTTGATGGTCTTCGACACATTTTCCTTCCGAATCACGATCCCAGCACGATTCCTCCTTATGTTTGCAGTCTGTAGCTGAGGCCACAACTTGGTCAATCCAGGCTCTTGCAGGTTTTTCAACCCCTCTGTAACAGGCAAGTTTGTACCTCAGTCTCTCAGTTATTTTCGTTAAGGAACTATAGGCCAAAGCACACTTTTCTTGAGACTGACCTCTCCAAGCCCTTCTCTTGTCAGTCTGGAGTACTTCCTAGTTCACTCTTCATCTTAGCTTCGTCACTTCATTTTTCCTCTCCCCCCTCTCACATCTTACCCTGCAGACCCCAACCGCTTCCTTCCTTCTCGCGGGAGATGGAGCCTGCCAAAGACTCGGCTAACGCAGTCGTGGGACCTTCCTGACCCCAAATGAGCTGCACCAAACACTGGGCAGGAGCAGGGGCACCTTTACCTTAGCCCAGTGCCACAGTGAGGGGCTCAGAGTTGTGCAGTGCAGTTGGCATAGCCCCCCCAGGGATAGATCCTGACACCGCTGTCTCCCTTGGCTAACGCAGCCCTGGTGCAGCGTGTTGGTACAGCAGGACCTAAGAGCTGCATGCTTCAGCCAAAAACATTCCTGGGCTCCAAATGACAGCAACTGAGTGAAACACCAAGATACAAAGCACAGGTAGAAGCAATGATCTGACAACCCTCAGCTTCATCAGTTTGTCTAGCTCTGCCACAGCTCCCCGGAGCAGGGAATGCAGAGCTGGCGCCTCTCGGTACAGCAGTGTAGCCTGTGACGACTTCAAAGGGCAAAGATATTTCTCTCCGGAGCAGGGAGCCTGCAGGCTCACAGCAGCTCCAGGCAACACCAAGGCCACGATCGTCATTGCAATGGTTCACTCTGAATTGCTTAAGGAGGAAGGTCACAGAAAAACATATATAAATTAAATAGATCTGAGGCTTTTATTAGCAACTTTTAAAGCAACTTTGTTCCATTTCAGTCCTTTGGGAACCCAGCTTTATCCAAGAGTAATTCTGAGTCTTGGAGAAGCCATTAAGGCTTCCTGTCACCCTGGTGCAGGCAGGGAGATTTCAGCAGGTATGTGGTGATGGGGAGACGGACTGGGTTAGCTGGAGAGATCCTGGCTTGTGGTTCGGAGGTAATCCTGTATGTTTCTAGCAAGAGATTCATTGTGCGGGAAGCTGGCCTGCTTCAGACATGAAAGCAAGTACAAAGGGTAGGGCCTGAAAGAAAAGAGGGTATTGCAGCAGTAAGGACAGCAGCATTCCTTTGCCACAGTCTTACTAGTAAGCTCACTCCTCATACACTACAGAGACTCCTCAACTCTGCCCCCAGCCTTTGCTCTCCCATTTGCTATTGCAGAGGTGGGCTGACTTTGGCTCCTTGTCAGTTCTTATGTGCCCCAGAGCCCTGCAGAGCCACAGCCTGGCTAAGCACTGAATATCAGAGCAGAAGTGGGGTGAAAGCAACTCAGACGCCTTCGTGCTGCAGTTCCAGGCTGGCAAGGGCTGAGCTAGATAAACCGTGCACACAGTTTAAAACACAAGCTGAGGGCTGTGGAACCCTCTTGGGTGCCCAGCAGTGATCCCACCCACCTCACTACACACCTTCCCAGCCTCTCCTGCCGCTCATCTTCCTCAGAGAGGCTCTCTGAGAGCTTCTGCCAGCGAGTGGCAGCCTCCTGCTTTCGGTTCAGTTCCCACAGGACCTGAACCAGGTAGGAGGCAGCAGCAGGGTCACCTGCAAGACATGAAGAGTAAATTAAGCCCTTAGCAAGGGAGGAGCAGGTCCCTGGCACTGCTGTGGATTGTAGGGTGTTGCAAGAGCTGTTTAGAAGCCAGACCAGGGAGCTGAGCATGAGAAGAGGAGGCGTCCTGGGGAAGAGACCTTTCAGGCTACCTCACAGGCTCTAATTAACCCTGGGGCTGGCAGCCAGACTGGCAGTCAGGACAGATGGCATCAGCCCTGCGGTATAGCCAGCCACTGCTCTGTTTAGACATGGGTCAGGGTTTGCCTTGTAAGCAGGTCTGCACCCCCAAAGCAAGGCCCTGGCTGGGTGGCGGGAAAGCCTTAGTCAAGACTGCGATGGGCCATCAGAGAGAAGTTCTTACTATGATGATCTCACCAAACCTCACAGACCCACAGTGACGGTGCTGCTATAGCATCCAACAGCTGAGGTTGGCTCAGGTGCCAGGGGATCACCTCTGCAAGCAGCTCTGGCCATGTCTTAGCTGTCCTCAGGACAAATACAGCTCCCTGTTCTGCTCCCCTCTCCCAACATGCCTCAGCCTCTGGGCTGCCAGGTAAGGACACCCAGCTTCCTAGGATGAAATAAGATTCCAGCTATCTAGCTCCTCCTTTCTGGAAAACCAGTATCTCTCTGGGAGAAAGCTGGCTGCACTAGGCTTGGGTGCAGGAAGAGGAGAGACTTCCACGCTGTCTCAGGGTACCAGCAGAGAGAAAGGTCAGCCTTCAGAGGAAAATAGTTTTGCTCTGCTTCTCCGGGGCAATGAGCTGAGCAGGCCCCAGAGGAGTATCTCAAGCATGCAGCATTGCCAGCAGCCTGGCCACAGTCCGTCATTTGAATTTGTGATCTAGAACACGAGACCTTTCTACTGAAAATAGCAAAGGAAAACTTGTGGCTATTCTCTCTGTCCCTCATCAAAATGAGCCTCTTACCTGGTGAGATCTGCAAACCATGCTGGAAATCCAGCAAGGCTTCCCTATGCCTCCCCAGCTCCAGGAACTGGCTGCCTCGCCCAACGAGAGAAAGCAACCTGATCTTCTGGAGAAGCTTCACTTCTGGTAGGAGACTCTCTGGCATAGAAAGACAAAGACAAATACACCGGGAGACAGCATCCTCCGACATTCCCTCCCCCATCCTAGCAAACTAAACCAGGTTAGCAGTCAAGATAAACCAAACATTTGCCTGGCCTGTTCATCTTCCAACTGCCCTGCTCCACAACCAGCCTGTGACCAAGCTCAGCCTCTCTGCTTGTTGCCAGGCACATCCCAAAATGATGCCAATAGCGCTGCAAGAGACTGTCAAGGAACAGGGGATCTTCTAGGAGAGGACAGGCCAGGAGGTGGTAGAGGCAAGAACAAAGAACACCAAGCACCTTATGTGGCTATGACTTAACAGTAACCTCAGCAACAGCCTGACCTTTGCTCGGCTGCCCATCTGCAGAGGTGCAGGCTGGGCGCTTTCACGCTCTCTCGGCAGTCCCATAACTGGAATAAAGGCTGCTCTCAGCCTCTGCATGCAAACACTGCCAAGAGACCAAAGGCTCTGGGCCAGCGTTGCTGCAGATCTCCTTCCTGCTCAAAGCCTGCAAGCACAAGGAAGGAAAGGCTAAGCCATGCCTGTTGCAAAAGACTGGTGCACAAGGTGTCCATAGCACCTCCAAGGCAAGAATTAAATTTGCCATGGAAGACAAAGAGGAGCGGAGGGAAATCCTTAAAAGACTAGGAACAGCACAACTGATTCAAATCTATACCCTGGCACCCGAATTCAAGAAGCTTTCCAGTTCACAGCCCGCTTAACTGTCACCTAGCACACGGGGAAGGTGGCAGGGCTGGGGGAAACCCTGCTCTGACCAAACCAGCTGGTCCCTTCAGAGGTTCCAGTGTGGCATGAAGCTCAGCACAGCGCAACAGGCACCTCCTGCCAGAGGTGACAATGGGCCTGGAGCCTTGCTTCTTTTCCCACCAGTGCCAGAAACACCAGATCCAGACACAGCCAGGCCTCGAGCAGGTCTCAGCTGCACGGTGTCATACCTGTTGTTTCAACACCCGACCCATAAAGCTGGACTCGTAAGAGATCGCCAAGGCACCTGAGGGAGGGAGGACAGAGGAACTTCAGTGCTGTCCTTGGGCTGCAAGCAGTCACGCCAGCTGCCACAGCAAGGTGCACTCTGCTCTGGCCCGTCAGCCACTGCTGCCCCAGCATCTAGCGAGCTGCTGGCCAGGCCCCCTCTTGCAGCTGGGCCCAGCCCTGGTGCAGGTATGCAGCTGTTCTCCACACAAGGCAGCACAGACTCTCCCTCTTCTGGGACAGGGGACCACTAGCCAATTCTGTCCCTGGTGATGGGCGCTCTGGCCTCTCCTCAAATTCCAGCGTCTGTGGGATCAGGTCAGCTGTCCGGCTCACAACCTCCTCACACACAGTTATGGCATCCTGATGCCTCCCGGCCTGCTCCAGAGCAGATGCTGCTTCCAGGAACACCTCAGGTATCCTGGGCAGAGCTGATCCACCATCCAGAGGCACCTGGGGAAGACAAGCGACGGCAGTGCTCAGACATAGAACTGCACGACTCCCAGCCAAGCAGAGTGGCCCCATGCTTACTGGGGATCCAGAGCTGCCACCCAGCAAAGCTCAGACCCACTCCGATAGAAACTGGAGCCTGTTGGAAGCAGAAGCTGTGGAGCAGCAATGGCTCAGCAGAGCCAGAAAGGCAAACCCTAGTCCTGAAGTGAAGGCCATCCAGAACTGGGCCAACAACTACTCCCTGAAGATAAGGGGAAACTGTTTCTCCGGGCAGTAGTACCAAGCAGTCTCTGGTGTGAATCCCAAGGCAGATGTGCCATGGGTCAGAGGTGCCAGCCCGCAGCTCCCACTGCCCCCTTGGCAGCTCCCAGCTTATTTCCTTTATTTCTCAAGCTAGACAGTGAAACTGGTCCAGGTGTGAAGTCTGATACCAGTCCTTCAGGTGGGTATCCGAATCTCACCTCCCAAGGTGCCAGGGAAACTTTTCAAGATACCTACCTGCTGCTGCAGCCCATCCTGGAGCAGAGCCAGAAAATCCAAGTAATGTTCCACAGCAGCAGCCACCCTGCAACAGGGACAGGACACATGGTAGAAGGAGCAGGGGACCCCAATAAGTGCCAGCAGCCAGGTGGAACCTGAATTGCCAGCCTGCAGGCACTCCCCACACTGCAATCACTCTGTCCGTGCTGCCCACAACTAACAGACCTACAACAGCAATACCGACTGGACAATATCCAGGAGCACAGAGAAAACTGCAGATCCCAAAGGGGCAGCATCTTGTGAGCAGACAAGAGGCAGCTCTGTTACCTCCTATCCTGGAGACACCTCTGTGCCAGCAGGTACTTCACTTCAGAAGGGGGGCGATGGCGGAAGAGAGAAGCTAGCGCTGGTGTGTGGACAAGGTGCTCTGTTTGGATTAGACTACAGGGAGTAGTGGAAGCAGCTGCTGGAGAGCTTCTTTCCAGAGCCTGCAAAACAGGAACAGAAACCGTAGTAGATACACTACTGGTCAAATCCCAAGCAGTTGCAATGATTTGCTATTTCTGGCCTCCAGAGATGCATCCAGCCAAGCAGAAGTACTACACCACACCTATGCTGTTCTCACTCACTAGGGCACAGCCACCTCCAGGAAAAGGAAGGGCAAGATCACAACAGAGACAGGCAGACTTTTGCTCCCCACATATAATCAGGAGATCTCTAAGAGCACACAGAACCTTTCAGTTCAAGATGCTCTGAGCTGCACGGAACAGCATCTCCCATCACAGCCACAGGCCTAGTTAGACCAGATCTTGTGCTATTAGCAGTGAGAGAGATCTCTCATGGCTGTGTTTGTGTTACGGGACTTCAAAAAGGCTGAAGAGCTAACTCGGTGTTTACTGCTCTTCCCAGGCAGGACAAGGCTGCTGCAGCTAATGCACACCCTCTCACAGCCACAGCATGCCTTTTAAAGGCTCCTTTACTAGAGACTTTAAGAGGCTAATGTTCTCCAACACTGAAGTGTAACCTCTGCTCAGCCAACAGTTGGGTGCTAAGCAGGAGTTCCTGACCAAGCTGGGCTCCCCTGTTCCCACTGCTGAGGCCAGAGGAGACACTGCTGACGGTAGTACCACGGCTGGATCACCGTCTTCCACTTTGGGAACCTCTTCAGGCTAAAACAGCCCCTCAGAAGGCATGAATCTCAAAAATCAACCCTGAGGCCACCCCACTGCACAACTGCAGGCAGCAGACAAACCTCGTATAGCACAGCCAGGGTCTGCAGCTCTGCGTCTGTCTCCCCCAGCTCACGGTACACTGCTGCAGCGTGGGACAAGGCAGGAAGGCACTGGAAGTCCACCTGGAGGGCCCGTTTCAGGTGCTGAAGGGCTGTCTGAGGCTTGCCCTAGGAAAATGAGGGGAGTTGCACGTTGCAAAGACATCCTGCTGACATCTTTACTGTTTGCTGGGATCCAGATCCCCACCTTGCTTGCTTCTCCGATAAGCCCCACTAAGCAAGGGCAGTATGCATGCACAGGCTACCCCAGCAACCCACCAAACCTTCTCCATGCCCTCAAGCTCCTTCAGAGCTCGCCTTATTGCTGCAGGGCAGCACGCATATTATCAAGCTGCAGCACTTTAGCCATCAAAGGCAACTCTTCTTGGACGGAGTTTGAGTTTCTCCTCTCTCTGAAGCAACCCTTTGTGCTCAGGGAAAAATCCCTCTTTGGATTTTGCAGCTGCCCAAGGAGACCGGGGCCACAAGGGTACCGTGCTCAAGACACTGCCCTCCCGCTGCAGCCCTGACCACACAGAGGCACTGTGGAGGTTAGCCTGACGCTCCCCTCCCAGCTCTCAGGCTGTTTCCCCTCTCTGTGCTGGCAGGGGAGAGGCCTGGCTGTTACCATTCGCTGAGCGCAGCGGCCGAGGCAGGTGTAGATCTGAGCCAGGACCCTCTTGGAGCAGAATCCGCCAGCAGCTTCTTGCAGGAGGGAGAGGAAGGCTGGGAGGTTCCCAGCCTCCAGCTCCTGCAGCCCTACAACAGACCCAACAGCTCAGCTCTGCGGCTCCACTCCCCACACAGCCTGGCCCCTAAACAAAGCTCTGTAGACACCCCATCCTGCAAACCCCCCCAAAGGGAGCAGGCCCACAGCTCAGGCTGTGCTATGCCCAACCCACCCTTTTCTTCCCAACTGTCCCATGCCTGGATCCCTCCACAACCAGCAACACAGGGCAGGATCGGCCCAAGCTTCCATCTTTTGCTCAACACTACTGAAAGAGAACAAGCTGCTCTATGTAAGCGTCTAATGGAAAGAAGGGCAGCCTCCAAGCCCTGAATACCAAGATGCCCACCTTTTCCGAGGCAGAGGTAGGTGCTGGGCAGGCCCAGGTGCATATACATGCACAGCAGAAATAGTGCAGGTGAGGAAGCACGCACAGAAAAAACATTTTTTTCCAGTACATCTGGGCCATTACCTAGCAGGATGCTCTAGGATATTAATTCAAAAATATTTACTGTGATTGCTGTTTGCTTCTCTTTCAACCCCTGCTTCAAGCTTCCCTCTGAAAACACCCTCAACGTGCCTAAGTCACATCCATATTCTCATCTGCTGCCTCTTTGCTGAAAGTGCTATTACCACCCTAGAGGCTTTTGAGAGGTTTGTGCATGAGAAGCTCCAACTTTCCCCACTCAAAGGAAAGGAAACTGAACACAGTGAGGCAGTGCTGGCTGCCCCAGGAGCTGCAGGTGCTATCAAGACAGCAAGCAAGCAAGCAGTGTGACTGGGATGGATCTCATCTCTGACTCTTGAGCTCTATCCCCTGCTGCCATACCAGGCTGAGAGGCTGCACAACAGCTTCACTTGGCTCTCGCAGCACTATAATCCAGCAGGAGCAGCATGCCTGCAACAAGGCAGGCACCAGAGGACAGACAGAAGAAAAGAAAATCCTCATAGGCCCCCCACCAGCCTTCCAGCTTTACCAAGATCAGTGCTGAGCCCAGGCACCTACCTAAAGCCAAACACAGGCAGAAGAAGCCCTGTGGCAATGCAGAGGCTTAGCTAGGGAAAAAGCAGAGAAGCTCTTTGGATATCAAATGGCAAGTCTGAGACCCATAGACCCAAAGGCTCAGCTTGGGTCATTTCCCAAGGGAATCCCAAGGGCTGACTTGGTTGGGAAGAACAACCAGGATAACGGCAGGGAGAGGGGTCCTGGGACAGGAGGGCAGGGGGAGGCTACAGCAGGGACGACGGTCCCTTCCGCACAAACCCTGCAGGAAGGCGGCTGCAGTGCACAGGATCTCCTTCAAGTCTTCGGCGCTCTGTACGAGGGACACAGAGGACCCCTCGGCAGGTACCTTCCATGCTTTGAGCAGAGAGAGGAGTTCGTTCTTCCCTCCGCTGCAGGGAGCTCTCCCTGCGTCCTGCAAGCACAGAGAGACAGAGAGCAGGGAATACTGAAGGGAGCGTTGATCCTGAGGCAAAGGGAAGCAGAGGGGCACTGAGCTCCTCGACAGCATGCTCTGTCCTGGGGAGCTATGTCCTACCATGCCCTCACTCTAACTACAACCTGGTTTGGGGAATAACTCCTTCCTGGTGCTGGGCAGCAGCTCCCACCTGACAGTGGGAGGTACACCTTCGGGACTTCCAGCAAGGCAGATTCAAGTGCTGCCTGAGGGCTTTTGAAAAGGGACCCCTCGGCGACCTGGTGCTCCTGATCAGTAGGAAAGGTTCCTCTAAGTCACACTGTTCACAGCTTATTCCCTGCAGAGGCTGCAGCTCTGTTTGCAGCCCCCTTCCAGCATGCCTGAGTCACCTGGCTGGCGCCTTGCTGCCCTGGGCCCTGGCAGGCAGGAGCTATTCTGGGACCCATTAATGCACTGCAGGCCATTAGGTTAAGCTGGGATGCCAGGGACAGGATTACTCATGCTAAGTGGGAAGCACTGATGGGTTCAGGTCTCCAAATGCCACAGCAGCATTTTGGAGAGAGGGTTTTATGGCAAATACAGTATTTATGCCAGCTCTGCACCCTTTTACCAAACCTGCAAGTATTTATTTTGGTCTGCAGATATAGCTGGGGCACACACTGAGACTACTTGGAAACTCCCTAGTGGCAACAGTAAAGAAAAAATACAAGCCCCTCAGCAATGGGCTGGATAGGTCTCCTGACGTTAGCAAGCAATTCAGATGCTGTCCCTTTAAGGCTGACTCAGGTCCAGCCGGACAATTCATCCCCAGCATGGCTTGGCGCTAAACTTTTGAGCCACCCAGAAAAACATCAAGCACCAGCTGTGGAGGAGATCAGGCTGCAAAATCAGCAGGAGGGGAGGAACAGCTGGCTTAAGGATCCCCCAAGGCTAAGGGAAGACACCTATCATACACGCAGGAGGCACTGCACTGTTGCAGGGATGGTAACAGCATGCAGATGCTCTGACACGGGACAGTGTAGGAAGCTAGAAGCTGCACAGCATCCTCCTGCTGCCTGGTTACCTCAGCATTGCTCAGGAGCCGGAAGAGGCCGATGATACTTCCCAGGCGGTTGGCTGCCAGCCACCACGCTCCTTGCAGGGCGCCCAGCCGATGCAAAGGCGCCTGAAGTTCTTCAACAGTCACCTCCTGCAGCACTTTCTGCCACAGCTCCTCAGTGCTGAGATCCTGCCCAGAGGCCCCACAAGCCTCCAGAACTAGTAAAGAAACAGCCATGAGGCAACAGGTCAGTGCCCTGTAACAGATATCCTCCCAAGAGTGGGAGGAAGCCTCAAGCAAACAGAGGCTCTTCCTAGCGAGGGATGGAACAGGGCTACAGGGCTTGCCCAGCTTCACCTGGCTACAGGAGCAGCACAGAAACCAGAGCTCTCATATTAATGAGGTAACCCACAGCAGACAACACACCGTTCAGAGCCATGACTCCAGCTTTGTTGACTCCTCCTAAGGTCACTAGCCCAAGAACAAGCAAGCGCTAACACTGCGGATCTCTCTCTGACTCAGAGTCTACTTCAGTGAGTTCCCTTTGAACCCAGGGCATCATAATTAACAAAAACTTTGCTAGAAACTTGGCATTTTATGCCTCAAAACTCTTTTGTTTCCTTTAAAACCTTTGGCCCATCCCCACGGGCTGCAACATGCACATATTATCCATGGCCTCACGCTGCTCCATGCTCCTGCCGTTCCCTACAGAGCCAGCCTTTCTTTTTCACAGTCCTCCCTCCCCTGGCCAGTCACCCGACATATTTAAAATAGAGAATGTTCTTCTTACCCCTGAGGAGCCCCTGGTGTATTCCTTCTGCTTCTCCACTGATGGCACAGTTAGATGCTCCCATAGCAAAAAGCAGGGAGTTGTAGAGGACAGTAAGCTCCAGAGGCAAGGTGGCGAGGGCAGCTGGCAGCCCTGTAATCAAAGCCAACATAAGAATTAATTGAGCTAGGTGTGTGGCTAGAGAAAACCCTACAACCATCCACGCTAAGGCTTCATCACCCTGCTTTGCGACAAAAGAATATTCCTGCCAAGGTTTTTGTGGTGGTGGTGGTGGTGAGATTTTACAGTTCAGAGACCGCACTACCCACAGCGGGAGCAGATGTCACCTCTCCAGGTGCCGATACTACTGATACCATCCTTGGTGTCTTTCCAACCAGCATGCTATCTAGGTCCTGCAGTCCTCCAGGACAGAGAGGCCTTCCAGCCCTTCCAACAGGGCGTCAGTAGAACGTGCTCTTCCCAATACAGGTCCGTCCTTCCGCAGAGGTTTCCCATGTTCTGTCTCCCCAGCTGCAGCCACAGGACAACCCAAATGCTGGGCTGCTCTGCTCTATTGCCTAACTGCTCCCTATAGTATCTCTCTCCGATCAGGTTTCCTCTATAGTAGCACTGCCGCCGGGAATCCCTTTTCTGGCATCTCGGTGCAGTGGGGTGACAAGCAACCCCATCCAGCAGCTTCTAGGCTGCTGCTTTTCCTTCCCTGCCTCTTTTCTTCCAGAAACCCCAAAGCTCAACCACAACCCCTGACAAAAGGATTAGGTACAGGTCAGGGCTGGGCCTTCACCCCTCCCAAGGCGCAGCTCAGCTTATGGCAGCAGGGAAAAATTTCACTTCCGTCTCTTCAGAGATTTGTTTCAAACATCAGGATATCAGAGCTGCGGCCAGGCAAACATCAGTATCCAGGCCCGGGACTTCCACCCCCGGCACGCTTCGGCTCTGGGAGGG